CAACGCGTGACAGTGAGAAAAGTTAAAGGCGATTGAACTCCCTGCATGTAAATGTAAAAGCCGGTTGAATTTTCGTGTCCGAGATCAGTTCGAAATCAACATTTTAAAAGTGCGGCTCATGAAACACGACTTATTTCATATGCATTTTAAAAAAAATTGAACTTGAGCCTGTGATCATTAGAAAAGTAGCAACTTGTCAGCGAATACCTTCAAAATATTACTCGAACTCAGAGGGTCGATACCTGAGCCTGCGATACGGTCAGGCGATACTGGTCAGCAGAAACACTATTTTGACAGCTGTCCATTAATCAAAACATGGATGTACAATATCAGGTTGCAGGCTCCGAAACTAGCTAGAAAGTGTGAGATTAAACATTGGTATGCCTGTGGTGCGGACGGACGGAAGGTCGGGTGGTCGGTGTACGGTCACGTGATTGCCGAATTTTCTACGATGGATAGATTTTCTATAAAGCTATGGGGCTTCGAATTGAGCCCGTGATCAAATAAAATATCAGCGCAAAACTTTAAACACTACGTGACCTCAATAGATAGAAAAATGAGCCCGCGATCCACTTAGGTGGTGATGGTCAGCGTATACTCTAGTTTGACAGCTGTCAATTAACCTTCATTAGAATGGCGAATATTCGAATTAAAAGACTACGAGTGTGAGTAGGACATTTCCGTCCGGCATGTAGTGGAAAATGCCAGATCGTGTACCTGAGCGAACCTGAGCCCTCGTTATTAGTTTTCTGATAGCGGTCTGAACATGTCCCATTTTGACAGCTGTCAATTGACCTTAATTTGGCCTGCCAATGTAACTTTAAACGACTGTCAGCCAACTGACAGCCTTGCCCGGCGTAGTTTCGTTTTTATGTTGAATTGGTAAGTGTGACATATTATATCAGCTTATATATAGGGGCAAAACGACTGGTCTTTTATCTGAGCCCGCGAGACGGTCATGTGATAATTGTCAGCGGATGTCTGATTTTGACAGCTGTCAATCTAATCGTACTCATAGGGATGGCTTACATAACTAAGAGCTGAGGCTAGTCAAGTTGTGCAAGATCTATTGTGACATTTGACATCGGCTTACATGAAGTGTGTGTACGGACGGGCGTACGCTACGTCATAACCAAATTTTCTGGGATGGATAGTTTACCAAATTTTCTTACCCATGGTGCTCCGCTGCGCGCGCGCTTCGCGCGCGCGGGAGCTCCGCTAATAATTGACCGATATACCTTCGGGAGCAGTTTCATAGAAGCTCTGAAATTCATGACTATAATGTGAGTGGTTCTAACTATGATCTCCAACTACCACTACCTAAAACAAATTTTCTCAAGCGTTCATTTTCTTATCGGGGTGCAATGGCTTGGAACCAACTGTCAAATGAAATATGTGATATGGGGGATCTTACATTCTGTCTGTTTTTTTTTTGTTTAACACAATAAGATTTCACCATTCTAATATACAATATGTTATGTATTAAAATGGTCTGGGACCTGACCCACCATTTTGGCGGGGTAGCTTTTTCTTCTAATTACTCAATAGGGGGTAATAAATATCGTTTAATCACTATCACTACTGTCTGGAACATAAGTTGGATCATCTTCAGAGCTGCTATCCGACTCATAATCACTCTCATTCATGGGCTCACAGTTGCAGTATTCAAAACATCCATATTTATTTACATAATGCGAAGTAACTTCTTGGCAATATACACAAAAATTTTTTGTCATTCTATACATATGGATTACATTAATTTAAAATAATTTATCAAAAATTTGTGATTTATCATTTGATCTGTGAAAGTGAATTTGGTATTATGTATAACATCTAATAATGATAAACCTTTTTGTCTCTCCAAAAGATAATATAAGCACCAGTGACCGAACAAAACACTATCTCTTTCTTGTAGTTCATCTGACGAATACACAATTTTTTACCACTTGTTGTTAAATAATTTGTGATCTCATAAGGCATGATTAATCCAAACGGATCAAAGTAATCACAAAATTGTTTATCCACACTTCTATAACAAACCCAACGAGACCCTCGCCCTATATTGAATCGTCTAAATTATTTATTCCTGTTTCCAATCTGTGTTTTTTCTCTAGTAAAATATCGCGGCTATTATAAAATACCTTTGAAATATTTTATTCCAAGTTGTTTGACCCAGTGTAACAAATCAATATTTGACAACGGTTTGTTGATGAATTTTATAGTATTGTTCCTAGAATTGGGATTGAATTGAATGGACTGTTTTTGCCAAGCAGCAGTCCTTGTCCTCTGTTTTTTACTTCCATACCAACTGGATTATTCCATGTTCCAACAAAAGGTGGTGACATATAAGGATATGGATTAATCACTCTTCCGCCTTTACTTTTAGTTCCAGGAACGTATACTGACATTGCATTAGTGGTGCCGGTTCTGTCGGCTTGGAGTCCTTTTCCCGTCAATGTATTTAACAACAAAGGGACTCCTATACTTGCCAGTAGAGTTCCCAGAAAACCACCTTGTTGTGTTCTCGTCGGTTTGATCACCAATTGACCACCTGATTGGAGAGCCTTAAGAATATCCTTTTTCTGACCTGCGGATAGAAGGTGTTTATACGCAATCATTTGCGCTATTTTATTCTGTGGAATAAGGAAACCTCCCTGTTTAACACCTTTCCCGAAAATTTTATCCACGCCAAGACTGGCTAAGCCGGATAAAGCACCTGTTGCAATCGGTGCAATACCTTTGTTAGCTAATGGCATAGCCACAGGCAACAACCTACTTCCTAAATTTACTAATTAATGATCCCCACAAACTACCACCATACTTAATAGCTTTTCTAATTTGTGTTTTTGATATTTAATATATGAACCCACACCCGTGCTTGTTCATCATAGCGGGCACAACCCTCCTTTTATTTCATTTCTGTCCGTTTGGGGCACATTTCAGAAATTGGTACTGAGGTGAAATAGTCATGATGTATCTGGCTACCCTTTTCAACTGGATCACATTGATTGGTATCTCCAAACATAAATATTGTATTATGGTATTTGGTAAAAGCCTGATAAATCTTACTCACCCACTTATTTGGGGTCATGCTATACTCTTCAATAAACATGGTTTTACCTTCAAGATGTGAAATATCCCTTCCATGATAATCACAGAAATAAGAATCAAATGTGTAACATTTATCCCTCAAATTCTCACCAATTCTGGATTTAATATTCTCGATGGCTTTATTAGTAAAAGATAAAATTATGGGGTTTATGGCTTTTGCGGCTAACTTAATCAATTTTGTTGTTATACCGCAACCTGGCTGGCCATAATAGATACAACCATCGCCGACATAATCAGAATAAACGTCCGTGTTGAAATTCTCGCGGAAATGCCTTTGAAAATACACGGGTACGCTTTCAGTCATAAACACCTGCCCTATCTGATCAGTACTGAATTCTACCTCTTTTTTGTTAGGTTATTGTTTCTTAGGATTAGTCATAAATATCCCATCAGTAATAATAATAATAATAATAATAATAATAAATGTCTTTATTGCCCATTAGATAAAAATACATATCCAATGTTACAGGATAAAAAGATTAAAAGTTCAGCTAAATTACAATAGAATAAAAAGATTAAAAAAAGCGAAAAACTAGTTACACATATCTGACATAAAAGATCATAAAAGGTTGTATTTAAAAATTAATCTATTTACAAATGTGTTCCTATAACGTTCGGTGTTTATCTTAGGCCTTTGAAAGCTTTTACCTCTAAGATTGCAGGTTAGATTGTTCTTTTCTTGCGATAAGCACACCTTCAGAGGGTGGTTATCATGCTTTTTAGCTTTTTGAAAAATCGCTTTATCTTGTTTTTATAGTAACGATCTAATATTTAATTGTGTAGATATAAAAGGTAACTTATAGCATCTGTCTAAAAATTCAGTGCTGAAAGACATTAATTTCCGCACCATAAACAGATAGTCCATAGGTTATGTTAGGGAGAACAATACTATAGAAGAGATAATCAATTTCTGTCTGGCTGTAGCGCTCTTTTCTACATACTCTCAGCACGTGTAGACATTTGTTGGCCTTGCACAGTTTAGCTTTTATGTGTGCAAAATATTTGCAGTCATTCTGAAAGGTCAAACCTAATAAATCAAGAGTGGCCTGTTGTGGTATTTATACTATGGAGTTCTGATTCATTTTTCCAATTGTCATAGATCAAATTCAGACATGAAAGTATAGCCTGATATATATAACAAATCTATTGACACTAGTATTGTCTGAGAAAATGCGATCGTCTGTCGCTGTCGCTCTCGGACCAAAAACAATTCTTGGTCTGTCAAATCATTCATGTATCTGTCTATAAAAATATCCTTTTTTGTGCTAGGCCAGTTGTCCAAATGGCCTAAGCCGTATCCATCGATCTGCATGTAAATCCATGATCCAATCTGCTATATTTTCTGCCTAGCTCGCCTGTGAATCTATTAGCTAATAGCTCGGCTCGGACCTCAGGAAAAGGGCTTCAATAATGAACCATTTTATATTATTGATTGGCATATGTAGCAGGTTGGTTAATACGGTGGCTCATAAGGGACACATCGATTTTTCCGTCGCAACTTACTAACTTGCGATTGCAACTTACTAACTTGCGATCGCCACTTACTAACTTGCGATCGCAACTTACTCACTTGCGATCGCCACTTACTAACTTGCGATCACCAGCTACTAACTTGCGATCGCAACTTTCAAAAATAGCGATCGCACCTTAAACAATGTTAGTTAAAAGTTATGTGTTTTGGACGTGCTTGTTGACTCTAGATCAGTGGACACAAAGATAGTTGGTGAGCGTTTCTTTCTGACCACTTTCTTCGTTTTGCTGAAATTAAAGTTTCATATGGCTGGACTCTTCCAGATTATCTGCCAGCCGTAAGGAATATAAATAGCAACCACAAACGAGATTATTTGATCGAACAGTATTTTCACGTCGGTCCTAACTACTCCGAGATTATGTCCTTTCTTCGCTTACGTCACGGCGTTCGCTCAAGTCTACGTCAGCTAAAAAGGATTCTTAGATCTCGAGGGCTTCGACGAAAAAAGATTCAGTCTAGAATTGATAGGGTGGTAAATGCAGTAGACCAAGAGTTGCAGAGTAGTGAAAGTTGCATAGGTTATCGACAAATGCACCAGCGTCTACTAAGTGACCACAGGATTGTGACTGATCGAGACACAGTCCGACGAATAGTGAAGAGCCTAGATCCTCGTGGCGTTGAGTTACGATCGAGGAAACGCTTAACAAGGAGGAGGTACGTGCTACCAGGCCCTAATTTCATATGGCATATCGATGGCTATGACAAGCTTAAGCCCTACGGGTTTTGCACTCACGGTGCTATTGACGGCTACAGTCGTCGCATATTGTGGTTGGAGGTAGGCCCCTCAAACAATAACCCAATGGTAACGGTACAATATTACCTGGATTGTGTACGTCAGTTACGTGGCTGTCCTCGAGTAGTACGAGGTGATAGTGGCACTGAAAACATACATATCGCAGCCGTCCAGCGATTTCTTAGACGTCACTGTCAGGATAACTTAGCTGGAAAAAAGAGCTTTTTGTATGGCAAATCTGTAGCCAACCAAAGGATCGAGGCTTGGTGGGCCTTCCTCAGGAAAAGTAACACAGACTGGTGGATACGTTTTTTCAAAGATTTAACAGCCTTAGGGCACTTTGACAATAGCAATATCATCCACGTTGAGTGTTTAAGGTTTTGCTTCATGAGCTTAATTTAGGAGGAGTAGCATAGAGTGTCACAGCACTGGAATTTGCATAGAATAAGGCCATCGAATTGAAAGACACCTGCCGGGAGACCTGATGTTCTGTTTTTCCTCCCAGAAGAATCGAACACCACACATCACAAAATTGCCGCCGATGAAAGTGATTTGGATGTTGCAGAAAATCTTTGTGGTACCCGACACCATCCTCTTGGCTGCTCTTCTTTGTTTGTGCGTTTAGCTGAACTCATTATGGAAGATATTGACTTACAATTGCCAAGAAACACCGAGGAAGCTGTGTATTTGTATCAGGAACTACTTCACCACATTGATAGCTTGTAAAACGTATCTGCTCATTTGTTTGGATGCACACGTCGCAGAATGTGCTCCTTCCGGAAGAAAACTCTGT